TATATATATGACACCTGATCCAGAAATATTAACCGGCTGAGAAAGCGTCTTGTTAGGAACACAGAAGGTTCAGAATTGACCCCACCCTGGAATCCAGGTTTGTGTAACACCAAGAATGTCATATTGAATTTCTGAGCCTTGTTGATGTACTGTGTGTTACATTTCTTAAATTAAATTTGACTGAATGTAAAATACACATGCAGTACCTAGTACAACTTCTGAAGCATAATAGACTTCATTAGTCAGGGTTCTCCAGAGAAACACAACCAATAGGTTACACAAAAGGAGATTTATTAGGAGGACCTGGCTCCCATGATTATGGAACTCAGAAGTGCCATAGTCTGCTGTCAGCATGGTAGAGACCTGGTGAAGCCCATGGTATCATTCCAGCCTGGGTCCTTAGGCTTGAAAACCAGGAAAGCTCATGGTGTGAATCCTACATCAGGAGCAAGAGAAGATGAGATGTTTCAGCTCAAGCTGTGAGGCAGCAAAAAAGGAGCAAAAATTTTCCGTCTGCTGCCTTTGGTTCCACTCATACTCTCAATAGGCTGGATGATGCCCTCCCCTGTAGTCCAATGGTAATCTCATTCAGAAACATTCTGGCAGGCACACACAGAAATATGCTTCATATGAGCACCCGAGAGCCCAGTAAACAGACACATAAAATTAATCATTCTATGGGCCCTTACCAATTAGTAATGATTACTGTTATCATCATCATCATTACTTTCCTCATCCTAGCCATTGTTGTTGTCATTATTGGTGACCCACGCAAGGGGCGATTGTGAGTTTTGGACTAGATGGTAGACAGACTTCCTTTTCTTGTTTCAATATCAAAAACAGCAGTATAATTTTGATGCTTATTCTGTTTAGGCACCACTCTTCTGTTTATGATCCCATTTCTTGCTTAAATGGTGAATAGACCAGGACAGTGGAAGCCAAAGTCAGGGAGTAGTTTTGTTTGGTCTACACAGTGGTCACCTGTTAGGACACACAACATACTATATTTAGAGCTTCTTTCTCTTCAAACACATGAGCGCCCCAGCATTACCGGCAAAGGTAGAGAGCTTGCAGTTCCTAAAGCAGTTACTATTTATTTTTCATCCCTGTGTTAAGGGGTCTTCCCCTCTGTTTTATGTACAGATGTGTGAAGTAGGTTGTTCAAAGAAGAGAGCTTGTGGATGAAATGGGGGAGCTAAGTCTCCTCCCTCTTTGTCATTCAAGAAAATGATTCAACTTTCCATTTTGAGACTGAGAGCCATTTTTAGCCAATTATGACTCATTTTTCTGTTTTTGTGTTATATCCCTTAGACTTAAAATCTCATACAAATGGGATTTTTGATACATGTTTTCTTAATAGGAAAACTGACTAAAACTCACTGAAAAATCAAAGGCCTTTGTGAAGGTATCACCTACAAATGGGAAAAAAGAAACCTTTCACAGAAAGAGAAACTCTTTTATAGATAATAGTTATCCACTGTCACCTGAGAATGCCATGGGGTTTTTATCTCAGTTATGTAAAAAAATAGGCTTAATTTTTCACATCCTGGGCTGGTAAAAATGAACAATAGCAAGAAATATTTCAGTAAGCAGACATGCACACACACCTGGGACCAATTAAATATTTTCCTTCATCTTAATCAGAACAGTGGTACTCTTTCATAGTAACCCTACATGCCCCAATTTTGAAGGACTTTTTTCTAAATGTTATTTTTACCAAGTACAATTCACTGACATTTTTGGAGATTTAAATCAAAGAAGTGACTGGTTTTCATAGTAATCATAAAACACCACATTGGATCAATTTTATAGATTATAAATGGCAACAGATAGTTCAACATCCCCATTTTACAGGTAAGAAGGCTGAGTCTTATACCAATTCAGGATTACATATAGACAGTGGAATCAAATTCAAACCCAGGTATCTGATTTACTCTGAGCACTTCCAAATATACTACTGCGCTTCTTAGACATTTTCTGTTTCCTTTTCAGTCTTTCAAAATAGCATGATGAGATGTATTATTTTCTAGTGGCTGATGTAGCAGGACCACAAATTAACAGGAATTCATTCTCTCACAGTTTTGGAAACCGAAGTCCAGAAGCAAAGTGTAAGCAGGCCCATGATTCCTTCTTAGGATGCCAGGGAAGAATGGTTCCTCTGCTCTTCCCAGCTTCTTGTAGTTTCTGGAAACTTTTAGTGTCCTTTGGCTTGCAGTTACATAGCTCCAATCTTGCCCTCACTGTCCCTTGCCATTTGCACATGTATGTGTCTCTGTGTCTATGTCCACACTTCCCTTTTCTTCTAAACACAACAGTTGGGTTAGATTAGTGCCGCCTCTATTCCAGTATGACCTAACCTATAATAGGAAGGTGAAATTCTTAACTGCTGGCAGTTACGGCTTCAATGTACCTTTCATAGGATGTGCAATTCATTCCCTAACACAAATGAATTGTAGTTTTCTTTTTTTCTAGAGCCAAATTTGATAAATTGTACTAAAAAACCATGACAGGTTGTCACACTAAGACTCAGTAGATGATAGATAAATTTGGGGGAAAAGAGAGGGACAGACAGATAGACAGACAGAGAAACTAATCTTGTCTTTGAGGGATGCCATGATCTCTTAGTTCTCAAGAAGAAAGGAAATGTTTTGCAACTGTCTTCAAGAATACATTTGAATCATTTATAACATGCACCTGGGTATCACGAGTCCTGGAGTTGGATCCATATTTGAGTGTGATTTCAGGGA